ATGTGGAGTATGTGCCCCATGTGCCCACGCTAGCCATAAGTCAGGGGTGTCCAAACTACGGCCCTCCAGGTGTTGAGGAACTGCAAGTCCCATGAGGTCTTGCAAGACTCTGACATCCACAGGCAATACACCCAGAGGCAGAGGATGATGGGACTTGTAGTACTTTAACAGCTGGAGGGCCATAGTTTGGACACCCCTGCCATAGGTGGACCCCACCATCGGGGACATTTATATGCTGGGGATGGACCCATTCAAACAGAGATGGATGGTAGCCATAATTTGCAATGGAACTTGGAAAGGCTCCCTTTTCTGCTCCCCTATTAGACACCTCAACAAAACTTACTGCCAGAGAAGTTTATGAGCAAAGACCTGTATGATAATCTTGGTGAACCGATTTTTACATACAAAATTTTGCAAAAGTGATATACCATGCATGGGGTGGATCCAGTAAATCTCTACATAGAAACTTAAGTGAACTGGAAAAAATGTATGGCAATATAAAAATATTGTCTAATAAATAGAGTCCTGACTATGCCCGCCCTTTCCATCCCTCTCCTCAATTCATAGATGCAGTAGTAAAGCTTCTAACAATGAAAAATGCTCAATGAATGACCTTGCATTTATCTGCCCATCTTCCATTCATGGAGCGCTTTTCTTTGCTGAAAGCTATAGTACAACTTCTATGAATCTAGGAGGGGGATGAAACAGCCAGGCATAGTAAGCACTCTTGAAAAGTGCTTATGACAGGTCCAGAGGCTTGCTATAGGGGTTATAATTTCTGCAGATTTCTGCTGCAGGGCTTAGGGGAGTCGAGGGTGGGGGGCAGTACAGGTGACTCTAGATTTAAATGAAGAGAGCAGCCGGCAATATAAAGGACCCTTCTCAACCAATGTAAGTACCACTGTGCGGATTAAAAAAAAATAACTAAACTTAAGCTTTAAACCAAGGGCATTAAAATAAACTGGAGGGTCAGTCAGTAACATTTTCTTCTGGCAGAGATCTGAATCTCATGTTTGTGCTATAAATCAGATCCTTCACATCCCAGCTTTCCCCCCTTCCCATCACATTTCCCCCTTTACATCAATGTCTTTAGTCACTCATTCACATCACCACCCCCTTTACACCACAGTCCCCGCCCGTACATCAGTCTCCTCAGACTCCCCTCTTTCACATTATAGCTCCCCCTTTACATTATTCCCACAGACCCCTTTTACATCGCAGTCTCCCTCACATCGCAGCCCCCCCCTTACATCACAATCCCTCTTGCAATCACAGCCCCCACCCTTTCATCAGAGACCCTCATTCAATCACAGCCCACCCCTTACATTACAGTGCGCTTTGCAATCACAGCCTGCCCCCCCTTGCATCACAGTCCAGGAAGTCCAGCTGTTGAAGACATTTGACGAAATGCATAGAGCGAGGTTAAGCAGGTGATTTCATTACAGTGGTTCAAGGTACCTACTCTGACTGCAAGGATGAGCCTGGGATTCTGGGATTTACTGCGAATTGAGGCCAGGGTAGCCAGAGTTTTCATGTTGTGCTGGGGACCCAATGTTTATAACAGTCTTTCCATATATGCATACTGTTTATGATAGTGCTTGGTGCACTATGTAAGCACAACTACTGTATAGGTTTTTTTTTCTTTTTTAATAAAAAAACTGTTATATTATTGGATTGTATTTTATGTTTATATTCTTCCCACACTGAGAGAATCTATGGAGATGGAGTTGGAATGATGGAAAAGAGATACCTTTCTGAAATAATTGGGTATTCATTTTTCCTATGAAAACCTTTATAATCTGCTGACTAAGCCTATAAGAAAGTAATGGTATATAGGGATGAAGTTTGGTGTGTTTAGGTCCTAGTAGGGACCCACCTGGGCAAGCCTACCAAGAAGCTGCCCCCTGTACTGGGCAAATCATCTGCGGCCGTTACATTCTCTGCCCCTCTGGCACAATTATACAAGGGGAGTGTATACGTGTGGCTATGAGATAGGGTATGAAAGTGAAACTATAAGTGGGCGCTTACACTCCCCATAGACACCCCACACTCAATCTCCAAATACCCTAAACCAAAATAACATAAACAATAAATGGTGCTACATTCAGTCCAACAGCAATATGGAAATACTGTTTCTGTGCCACCAAATCTTCCCAAGGTGCTTCACCTCCTGTGTCACCACAATGCACTCACCAAAGATCCATGACCCTCTTATTTGTAAGAAAAGGCCATAAAGCGCTGTTAGCCCCAGATGCTCTCCAACTGCTGTTCCTCACTTTTCCACCAATCATCACTTGTCCTATAATTTAGGGTCCAATCCCTCTGGTGACTGAGCCTATGAGAAAGTAGTGGTAAATAGGGATGAACTTTGGTGTGTTTAGGTCCTAGTATGGACCCACCTGAGTAAGCCTACCAAGAAGCTGCCCCCTGTACTGGGCAAATCATCTGTGGCTGGGCCATTGGGTATTCATTTTCCCTACGAAAACCTTTATAATTTAGGGTCCATTCCTTCTGGTGACTGAGCCTATAAGAAAGTAGTGGTAAATAGGGATGAACTTTGGTGTGTTTAGCTTTCTAGTAGGGACCCACCTGGGTAAGCCTACCAAGAAGCTGCCCCTGTATTGTGCAAATCATCTTTGGCTGGGCCATTGGGCATTCATCTTTCCTATGAAAACCTTTATAATTTAGGGCCATTCCCTCTGGTGACTGAGCCTATAAGAAAGTAGTGGTAAATAGGGATGAACTTTGGTGTGTTTAGGTTTCTAGTAGGGACCCACCTGGGTAAGCCTACCAAGAAGCTACCCCTGTATTGTGCAAATCATCTGCGGCTGGGCAATTCTCTGCCCCTCTGGCACAAGTATACAAGGAGAGTGCATACATGTGGCTATAGGACGGGGTATGCCTTGGCTGCTTTTGACTGTCCCTGTACAGGGGACAGCTTTGTGGTGGGCTCGCCCAGATGGGTCTGCACTAGGACCTGAACATACCGGATCTCACCCATATTTACCTGGCAGGTTTACTTAAGTAGATTCGTACTAGGATGTGAACATGCCTCAGCTCATCCCTAGTGGATAAATCAATCAGAGCACATTTGATGTGGCGTTCAGAATGCATGTGATGCTGTGGATAATTTACCTAGTTAAAGGTGGTGGATCCATTTCCTTGTGTAGTGAATGAAACACAGTTACACAAAGTTGTGTAAACACATTTGGATGGCATAGTAGTATGGGATATTATTCCTCCCAAAGAACAAGAATGTTTGTTTGCCCAAAGTAAGGCTTTAACAAATTAGAATATAATCATGGGTCATTTGTTTGATTCAAATTGAGCCTATTGCAATAAATAGCATGCTGCTTATTGAAAATGCAAAGTATTCTTTAAGAATGTCATCTATAACATCACTGCATAGATCTTATATAATAAAAATAATGTGTCAAGCTGGCAATAGACAGATTGAAACTGGCTGGTTCAGCATTAACTGGCCGAATTTCAATCAGTGTGTGGCCATCCATGTTTGACAGAAGCTGATCATTTGATTGACTGCTGCCAAAGGGACATGCTGGAAAACATTTTTTGATGACTGGTTGCAGCCATTGGTGATCACTGTGTAGCGCTACCCTCTTGGGGCAGCTGGATTTTTTGGTCCCCTTTAAGCTCTGCACAGCCAGGCAACACGCACTCCTCCACACCTTCTCAGTAAAACAGTACTTTAGCTTGGTTTTGTTGTTTTTATTAGGGGTTAACAACTTGGGTGGGTCTCTAGAGGTATATGGAATGCGCAAGGAACTGTAAAACTTGAGGACAACTTCTTAGACAACACTGTACAAAATGTGAATCATAAATCAACAGCAGTCTCAGCAGCAGCAGTCCCCTTTGGTGTACCTCCTCAGACCCCAGATGAAACTCTCCTCATCCACCCAGCTGTCCTGAGGGTATACCTTAGCAAGGGATTCCAGAATCCACTGTGAAGCAGTCCCAGATGAGGACTAGTTGGGCATTTCACTTGATTCTGGTTAAAACTTGACCCTTGTTAGCACTCTCACTTCTGTGGCCCAATGGGTATAAAAGTACTTGCACTGTCCTGTCCTTTAGTTTAGTGGGTTGCAAGTGTTTTCAGGCCTTATGCTGGGCTGGCTCCTTCCCTATTGACAGGCTGTCCTCCCTAGGAGACTATAGGACAGGGGAGATCCTTCTGTCTTCTCCAACCTGTAGGTAGGCCCTCCTCCCTGGGGCCCCCTCCTAGGTTCTTGCTGCACAAGCTCTCTCACATTTAAGGGTTGCTCTTAGTCACCAAACCTGGCCTCCAGCCTGGGGACTGGCCAAGTTCCCCTCAAGTCTAGAGCTCCCCTCCTCTGCTCCTCTTCTAGAAAGTTCCTCCAGTTTCTAGAAGGATGGGAGGGCTCCAGAAGCCCTGACCTGTAGAACCTTTTAGCCTGAACTGAGGTAACCTCACTGCCTCACTCCTTGGCTGACTCATCCCAGGCTTCTAACAAACTGCTGAATAATAAAAAAAAACCCCTATCTACCTAGAGGGAGCTACAAGTGTATTCTGATGGAGGAGTGTCCCACTGTCAGAATACAATGAATTCCTTCATCCACCTTGTTTCTATGGATAGAGGAATATTTTGTTTTTTTATCGTTCAGCTCGCTGAAACATTGAACTGTCTATGGACAGCTTTAGAGGAGGAAGAAGTTATAACAGTTAGCTTAAGCCTTCATGTACAATGGGCATTTAGCCCCAGTGCATGAGATCCCAGCATTACCATGTGGGTTTCAAGCCCATTTGCTGACCGCCAGCAAAACTCTATGAGAGGTTTGCCTACGGCTAGACAGTACAGCCAGTGCTACTAACATTTAAAGAAGTATAAGCCCAGGAATTAATGCAGAGAATGCAGAATTCTTGCTTTCTGGGCATTTGTCTGTGGGTACATACAGGGGCGGACTGACCATTTGGAAACTCGGGCACTGCCCAAGGGCCCGGGATCAGTAGAGGGCCCCATGAGATGCCCCTGGTACCCTTTTTTATAGGCTTTTTTGAGTTTGGGCAAGGACACAAGGGGCCCCATGATCCCCTATTGCCCGGGGGCCCCATGAGTTGTCAGTCCGCCCTTGGGTAGATACTGCCCTAAACGTTAGTATCACTCTGTGAACCATCCAGCCAAGTGTACATGGGTCCTCACTCTGAGCTCCGGCCCACCAAAATAATGATAGCTGAAATCCCATTGATTGCTATAGACAACACCACCCCGATCCTTATATTCCTGTTAGCAGTGGTCAAGTATCTTTGGAATCATCAGTCCTGTCACTCAAATATCTCCCAGCAATCAAATGGTTAATGGGCCCAGACCTCTTGTCTGTTGCCCAAGGCCTGAGCTGTGACTCCAGATAACCTGTCTTCCATCTACTGTAAAGATCCTGTCATCTACAGGCCTGAGCTGTCATCTGCTACTTGTAAAGCCTCTGTAGAAGAAAGGAGAGATGAAGTGTGTGAAGTGAATGTGAGGACACAGCTGAGCACAATGGTTGGGAGAGTGCAGACAGTCATTTCGTGGCTGCCCAGGAGCTGGTGTCATTTGTACTAGTACCGCCTGAAAATATGACACGACTTTCAAAGAAATGACAATAATGTTTTGATGACAAGGCTTCCACTTACCGCCCTGGTTAGCAGACAAAGAACTGAAATCCTGTAAGACTCTGGGTTAAAGGGAGTGTATGATTTTATTTTACATATTATTGTTTTAGATATATCTGTAATAGAGATCAGCTTGTCATGGAAAGTCTTCACAATGGGGAGATTTACGGAAACTGGTGTACACAGAATCTGGTGCAGTTCTGCATAGAATCCAATCAGCTTCCAGGTTTTATTGTCAAAGCTCAAATGAACAAACTGAAGTTAGAAGCTGATTGGCTGCCATGCACAGCTGCACCAGATTCTGAGTGCACCAGTGTTAGTAAATCTCCCCCAATGTGTGATACCATTTTTAAAACCTTGTTCCAATGTATAGTTTATCATTTTCTATGAACACATGGAAGTAATATTGGTTCATTACATTTTCAGGCTTTGCAGTGCTGCACAATGTTTCTGTCCTGCTGCTTGTTGTCACCAGTCTATGAGTCAGTAGACTCTTTAAAAACAATGCACTCCCTGCTTGACATATCTCTCATCCTATACACTAAATTCTGGTTTAGAAAAAAAGATATTCAAGTATGTATTCTTATTTTAAAAAATCCCCTTTTATTGCTTGCAGCCTCCTTTACGTCTACAAATTCACTTTTTGTTTTGTGCTGCTGTGATCTGACTTCCTGTTAGAGGGTGGCTACATTTGTTTTGCACTATATGTAGCAATGTAGCCATTTCTCTCTTGCTCGTTTGCAGACTATAAACTCTGGCATTTGTAGTGTACACAGAGCAGTGTACATGACCACAACTAACGTGCACTGCTTGTTCCAAACAAATGAGAGTGAGGGGGAATATGAGAGATTTGGGAGCTCATGGAGGCTATGCTTTAATGCCAGCTGGTGTGAAATGCATCAGCACTTGCTCCTACTATGTGTCATGCTATTTGACTGATTTTTATCATTGAACCTATGGATTTTAACAACAACAGAGTGTTGTCATCAACCTGTTAATTGTCTGTGTTCTGCGGTCTGAGCAGGACTGACACCTGTGTTTTTGGGGTTAGAAGAAGTGGACCAACCTGGAGAGGTGTATAGTGTTTTGGGAGCTCACAAAGGAAGTTACAATGAGGATGAAAAGCCCAGTAAGAAAAGATTTCACGAGAAATAGATTAGAGGTCATTAAGTAGTGGATTCTTTTTTGGAGAACAAGTATATTAGTGTCACATTAAAGGATAAGTTCACCTTTGGAACATGTTACATGTTCCAACTCTTATTTAGGGTGGAGCATGTAACATGTAAGCACATTTAGCACTTCTGCCCGGCAGTACTAGGGTCGTTGGTTTGAATCCCCACCACAGCACCCCTGCCTGGAGTTTGCATGTTCTCCCTGTGCCTGCATGGGTTTCCTTTGGGTACTCCGGTTTCCTCCCACACTCCAAAGACATGCTGGTAGGTTAATTGGATCCTGTCTAAATTGTCCATAGTATGTGTATGTATGAATGTGAGTTAGGGACCTTAGATAGCACACCCCTTGAGGGGTCCCTAATGATGTGAATGTACAATATATATGTAAAGCGCTGCGTAAATTGACGGCGCTATATAAGTACCTAAAAGATAAATAAATAAATGTTCCAACTCATGCTTCCTCTCCCTGGGACAGCAGATAGAGGATCTCCTCCCCGCACCCACTGTCACAATTTGAGAACAACACGGCAGTGAAAGGCTCCACTCACACAGCCACATCTTTCCTGTGAATGAATGCCTATAATTACCATCAACCATGGCGGCCGATGGCTTCTAGTTCTCAATGAACTGCAAGGGTGCTGGTGAATGCTCTCATACTCCATTGATTCTTCCTGCCATTCAGTAACTTCCAGTGTGCTGAGAGCCTGCAGGATCCTGGCATTGTACCCGCAATCTGCTGATTGTGGCTGTAATGGCTTACAGGCTGCAGTGTAAAAAATAATAAAAGCACAATTTCTTACCTGCAAAAAGATGTGCATTTATTATTTTTTTGTAAAAGGTGAACTTAGTCTTTAAAATCTATTAGGCAGAACAATTGAATGAGACTGAAGCGAATACAGAGCTCCCTTTAGTGGTTAATTTTGAAATATCTACATTCAATACAATAGCAAAAATATGGAAAGGAGCTGTAATGAAAATATCAAAACCACAAAAAAATATTTTAAGTTAAAGACTGCAATATTAGCTCAACCGCTTTCCTGCCGCCCTATAGCAGAAATTCTGCTACAACGCGGCAGGGATGCACAAACTCACATATATACTTGCACCGCCATTTGCGGCCCCTGCTGTCAATCACGATTAGTCACCGGCAGCCGGTGATTGCTGAATATTACTGATGGAGGAGAGAACTGTATGTAAACTATACAGATCTCTCCCCTGTTAGCTCCTGCACACTGCTTTGTATGGCTCTGCTATGAGGAAAGCACACACAGCACACTTAGTAAAACACACATAGCACACAGTTAACCCTTTGATCGCCCTAGATGTTAACCTTTTCCTGCCCAATGCCATTAGTACAGTGTCAGTTGTTTTTATTAGCACTGATCACTGTATTGGTGTTAGTGACACCAATCAGTTCCCTCCAGTGTCAGAATGCCCACCATAGTCCTGCAGTCCCACTATAAGTCGCTGATCGCCGCCATTACTAGTGAAAAAAATAAAATAAAAAATTCCAGTAAAAATTCCACCATTTGCAAATGCTATAACTTTCACGTAAACCAATTAATTTACACGTATTGGAATTTTTTTTTTCAGCAAGGACATGTAGCAGAATACATTTTGCTCTAAATTCATGCCGAAATTAGATTTTGTTCATTTTTTTAGTGGACATGTTTAATAGCAAAAAGTAAAAAATATTGTTTTTTTCTCACACTTGTCGGACTTTTTTGTTTATATCGCAAAAAATAAAAATGCAGAGGCGATCAAATACCACTGAAAGAAAGCTCAATTCGAGGGAAAAAAAGGACATAAATTTAATTTGGGTGCATCGCTGCATGATCGTGCAATTGTCAGCACCGTAATGCAAAAAATGGCCTGGTCAGGAAGGGGGTAAATCCTCTGGAAGGCAAGTGGTTAAAATATGTGCACACAAGAAAAACACTATGAGGGGGATTTACTAAAACTGGTGCACACAGAATCTGGTGCAGCTATGGATAGTAACCAATCAGCTTCTAACTTTAGCTTGTTAATTTAAGCTTTGACAATAAAACCTGGAAGCTGATTGGTTACTATGCAGCGCTGCACCAGATTCTATGTGCACCAGTTTTAGTAAATCACCTCCTATTTTTTCAATAAAGGTTCAGTCCACAAAAAAAAAAAAACACAGTAGTTTTGGGTGGGTGCTGACTGCTTCATATCCTATTGTTTTTTTATATTCCAGGGTGGTGGTAGTGGTGGGGTGTTAGAGTTGATAGCTCTATAACAATTCTCTGTTTCAAAAGCAATTAAAAAGGCTTCAGCTTCCACTGAGTTTTGTTTTTCATTCTTTTGACATTGCTTAGAACGCAGCAGACAAAGTGAAATACTTGACTTCTTGCTTTGAGGACATCTATACCTGGTGATGTCTAGTGTGGGAGCTCTTGATGTCATGGTCTGGCCTGTAGCTTACATCACAAGTTAGACAATGTAGTTGGAAGTATCTGCAACACAGAAAGTTGAACCCTAAGAAGGTAAGGGAATGTCTTTTAAAATGAGATATATGTATTGGGGTTCCTACAATACACACTAGTGACCCCACTCCAGGCACTAATTGTTCCAACTTATCTTACTCAACTGTTGGCTTCCTCAGGGCTTGTCCCAGCCACACACATATCAGATCCGAAAGGATGTCAGCCGCACAAGTTCTGATCTTGCAATAAATTTTATAGTTAAAAACACAACCCACACAGAATCTTCTCGTTGATGTGGTTTTCACTCCAATGCCAGCATCGTGAAATGTATAAGTTAGAAGATTCAGAGGGAGGTGTTTGTTTCTGATCAGAACACGTGGTTCACCTACCATTTTTCTGAACATTTTAGGAGATTCCTGAGGGTTGGCCAGCACAGGCAGAGAGAGATATGACTTACATAGTTACATAGTCTGGCTGAAAAAGGACAAAAGTCCATCCAGTTCAACCATTAAAAAAAGAAAATTATAATCCTGTACCCACAGTTGATTCAGCAAAGCATGATCCAATTTGCTCCTGCAGGAAAAAAAAATTCCTTCTTGATCTCCCGAGAGGCAAGCAGATATTCCCTGGATCAACTTTACCTATAAATGAGATGTTGGGAGAAGATGATGCTACTCTAGCTGTGAATGTTGTTACAAGCCATGCCAAAGCTCCTGGCAGAAACTCCACTGATATCACCTAGTTTAAACTGTACCACTCTGGCTGACATCACCTAAGTCAAAGTGCCCCCCCCTCCACCCCGACTGACATTATCTAATATATTGTGCACCTCCCCTAGTTG